CTCTTGCATTTTAACTTCCAACCTGCGATTCGACCTGATGATTGTAGTGATCCTAGTACATCCATTACTTAGACCGCTACAAGGTAAAGCAGTAGAGCAAAGAGATGACAGAGACGTACTCATAAGAGGCCGTGAATTTAATCACACTTGGGTCGATTTATCCGTCCACTCTACTTCAAGGTATGGAATCCACCTATGCTGATACAGTAAGATGACTGTCCGAGCAGGATTTCCTAAGTAATCCCAATCTAGAATCCAGCAAAAGGACTACCGAACACACTAAATTGTTAGGAGGAGTTTAGCAGATCTGAGTAAGGCAATTGACTCAATTGGGAAAAATTCGGCGGCCGCGTCGTCAGTGAGATTCGAACTTAGATCCTAGATTGCGACCGACAGAACAGCAGGCAAGTGGCTGAATAATAGCTTGAAACTGAGCGTGAAACGGGCGTTCCATCGTGAGTACGGAAGGCCTGCACAGATGTAGCATTAAATGAGTCATAAAAACGTTGAGGGTTACCGATGTACTTGGGGAAGGACCCAGGCAGTGGGCGAATTGAGCGCGGAGACGATGAAGCCCGAGGTCTTTATTTCCTCCCCACTGGAGAGCTTAATAGACAGTCTTCGCGGTCGATTGGTCGAACTGTCATTGGCCGCCGGCCTCGTGTCCGGTAGACGACGCACAGCCTCAATCTTTCGGTTGAGACAGTAGACGCACGAGAATACCGCTGACATCCTTGGAGGAGGGGGGGATAAAGTTGCAAAGACATAAATGACAGTTTTAGATGGGTTTTACGGAAAAGGGGAACAGTCGGCCCCCGACATAATGGGAAATAAACGGTAGCCTTAATTCTAAACGTTTCAGAGTTTAATATCCACGGAATTGCCGTCTCTACAGCATTAAAAAAGCATGCTAAACAAGCAGCGAGAAAGGTGAATCCAATTAAGTGAAGTATTGCAAGCAGATAACTCAATATGCATATAACTAGATTAACCAAGTCATCAGGACGCCCACTTGCTGAAACAGTGGTAGACCCATTTGCATCAGATGCTTGAATTACCGGTTTGGGTTACGGAAGAAACGATGAAAAACAGAATAAAAAGGACAAATAGATAATATTACCTGCAAAAAGCTTGAGGAATATCAGCACAACCAAAAAGCGGCCATAGAAGAGGATAGGGACCAACTCGGTTCATGGAGGAGAGCAACCGTCGAAACTTGGGTAAGGCCTGAAAACAAAATCAAATTTTCTGAGCGAGATGACAGTTCAATTACAAACGCAAGAAGTGTTATGAGCCATTCCTGTGATAGACTGGTTTTGGGCTCACTAGACCTACTTTGCATAACGGCCTACTTACGTCGTAGTAGTAACCATGTTTTTCTCACCACAAACGTACGACACCGTTCATCCACATTGCACTATCCACACGGAAATTTTAGTGTCCTGCAGTTACATTCGTTTTCATAAGTTTAGTTTTAAATTTATTGATCAGTTTTATTTTGATTTAGTTTTTCTGCACAGTTCTCGTTTCATATTGGCTGTATCATTCCTTTTAATTACCGCGCGCCAAACATTAGGTTATTTGAATAATTTTTTCTATTTTTTCTATTTTTATACGCGATATAGTGGTCGCACGAGCCGGCGTTTGTCCAAAAGAGTAAAGGAACACATACCGCATGGTTAGGGAAGGGCAACTTAAAGGAGTAAACAGTTCAATCTTAGCGCACCTGGTAGACTCAAACCATCGTGTGGATGCCAAAGAGGCCTTCCGAGTGATTTACAAGGTGCCTTCAAGCTACT